GGAGAGTCTGCACCTGACATTCCAGCCAGGATTTAGGTGATGTACCTGCAGGCACCATCGAGCATGATATTCCATTATACTACTTCGTGGGCATATCTACCAAGCGACTATAATTATTGCAAATAAAATAAATAATACGTTTTTTTCACGAAAAGGCCAGACAAATTTAATTACTCATTTTACAGACCTCCCTGTCATTTTTCCGCCATTTGGCATAAACACAAAGTCTGCATTGGGATATAATCGTGTCAAGTGACCTTTCATCTGCAGTTATATCAACATTTTGACTTTTTCATTTCCCCTGTTTGATCCAGCAAAGACTAATCCTAAAGTTAATTGTTTTTCTGGGCAAGAGTTATCACAGCAACACATATAGATATATCCTAAGAGTTATGCAATTATTAAACAAGAACATATATATTCATTAATGTTTTATCAATATTGTGAAATGAGCATGTTCTTTATTATTCCACTCGCTAATAGTACAGCCACATAATGCTGCTGCTGCTGCTGCTGCTGGTGATGATGATGGTGATGATGATGATCAAAGTCTCAACAAAGTAGGGCTGGGCTGGGATGAGTACCCGACCCCCTATTATCCGATCCTACCCAAGTACTCACTGTAGGTCTCAAGAGTTGGGAACAAAACGTCTGATTGGGAATTGTTTTACTGCAGCCCTGGCGAAAACTTATAGGTATATGTATCAAACAATCAGGTCATGGTACACTGAAGTTGACTAAAGCTTTATCTTTACTCTAACATATACAAGTCAAAGGGAATGTGAGCATAGTCAGAAAGAAATCCGAACATTAGCAACTTGTAGTGTAACCACTGAGCTAAAGTGAGTTTTTGTCATTAAACAATATATCACGTGACTAACCATGGGTCCGGGTAGTCCTGTGGGGACCCTGGTCCTACTCAGGAAGCACCTGACCCGGGTACCCGAGTTACCCGTCCCACCCCTACAACATAGCCACTAACAAGTGAAAGAACACCCACAATTAGAAGGCTGTGTTGCAATACCCACTAGCCACGACAGACTAACTATCTCAGATGAAAAAAACCCTGGGTGTTCTTGAACTTCTATTGAGTAGTATACATAAATATTTCTGTTATACTTCAATTATCCTACACACACAATCATTTACAATAACCACCATCACATCTGTAGGGTCAATATTTTTCCAGATTGACGATACATATGGATTCTGTGAAAAAGGCATACATGAACAGTCTTTCCTATATTTTGCAAATATTTAGAAGATATTTTTCTCCACACGTACCCTTGACAGTTTGCCCTTAGAATTCCAAGGAAAGTGCAAGGTCGTCAGTGTCAGTGATGTCTTATCTGAGCAGTGGCCATACAATGTTCGAGAGGGCTCTCCAAGTGGGTGGGGTTAGATAGGTAAAACCACATAACATCGTTAATAATTCAGGGGTCAGACAATGTCAACACCAGGTATGACCCAATCGTTAACAGGTAAAACTCTTTGTCAACAAAGCCGTATTTATCTGAATGAGATGGGATTCTAGCCCATAACAGGAATATTTAAGCTACTTTCAACTCTCAACACGTACTGGTTAAAATGCCATCTCATTGAACAGCCAACGACTTGTGTTACAAGCTTAACTTCAAGTTATTATACTCAGCAATGGTTACAGCCAAGGCCAATTGCTTTTATATTTTTACGTTTTATGAGCAAAAGATTTCAACAGAAAACAGAATATTAAACAAAATCTAAAGATAACCCCTCAACTTTTAACAAATGCTTGTAGAAACATTAAGATGGTGTTTTGTAAAAATATGTTAAAATGTTGACAAAAATATTTTGAACATAGTATTATGAGGAAAAAATACCAATTACTGAATTAAATAAAAATATAAAAAAACAAGGTTTATTGGTTCCAAGCATGACATTAACTGAATGAGTGAGTGAGTGAGTATGGTTTAATGAGGTTGGTTTTATAGACATGAACCATGTTTCAGTTCTTTCATGGTTTTTTTAACTATGGTCGAAAAACAGACGTCTTCCACCTTGGAGAACCCTAAAAGCCGAGATATAGGGCTTTAGTCTCTCACACAGAGCCTAAAACAAAACTAGTCTATACTAGTTAGACAAGTCACGCCAAAATGAAGGGATACTCTGAGCTTCTTTTTATGAACATCAAAAGACAACTTAAAAAAACAAAAAAATGAATATTTTCAATTTTAGAGACTAAATGTTTGGCTTGTATTTGGCACAGTGACAGCAGACTGGAATCAGGGTAGGATTTAAACCCATGGCTATCAGATTAGCCATGAAAAAAGGGACACAACTCTGCAGAGCAACTTGTGACATTTCAAGACCAGGGGTGATTTGAACAAGGGACATGTGGGCGGAAAAACAAAAAATTTGATGAGGTCAAGCAAATCCTACATTCAACATCCATTCTGATTTTGTTTTGATAAACTTTACAGAAAGTCAAACCAACTCAACAATGGAGGGTGTCTATTTCAGTGTGTGTGTGTGTGTGTGTGTGTGTGTGTGTGTGTGTGTGTGTGTGTGTGTGTGTGTGTGTGTGTGTGTGTGTGTGTGTGTGTGTGTGTGTGTTGTTTGTGTGTGTCTACTTTTAGTCCAGACTAGTGCGGGTTTTATTGTTCCAGCCCACTGCTCAGACACAATATACTGCCTCCTAGCCACACATTCCTTGTTTTACCAAATTAAAGCTGAGTGAGGCAGGGTAACAAGTACTATGTTTTAACATCTCTTTGTCTGGAATTGAACCACAAGCCTTCTGCTCTCAAAGCAGATTCTCTGTCCACAAGATCATGGAGGCCGTCTGCGTCTGCCGGTTGTAATGATGATAGATGGAAATCATTATTTTAAAAAGGAAATAAGTGTTTCCTGGCTGTCAATCAATGCAACAGCCGATTACCGAACAATTTCAGTCAATATTTGTCATATATGTAGCGTCACGGGGCAATATCACCACGGCAGCAGTTGACATACAAGTGTATGGCCAAAAAACAGAAACGAAATGAAATCATTCTGGCATGTCAGTAAATTGAAGCTTTTCAGAAGTGTTTGAAATGGAGGCTGAACAGCAATCACAAATGCCCATCTGTCATTTAACGTCAAATAACAGAACAGGTTAAACAGTGTCTTCCACTTGAGTCCCGAACGCACAGAATCTTCACATACCACCATCATACACTGGCTCCTTTCTAAACATTATTCCCCAACCTGATTTCAAGTTTCAATGCGTAAACCCGCACGCTCCCATCACAAAAGCTGAATATCAATTCCCATCATAAAATCCATCACCTTGAAAACATTCATACACCGATCAGGTTCCCCCCGAAATGAGACAGTTTATTCTGAACATTTCACCTTATGAATTTCTACTGTTCGTGATGATGGTTATTAACTTGTGACTCACAGCTAGACAGATTGAAAAGAAACCGAACCCAATGGAGCAAGCACACACCCATAATTTTATCAAAGCACTATGGAAAATCCTGCTTCATAAGAATACAGTACTGAGAAGAACGCATCTTTTCAAAGTTAAGCCATGTAAAACTGTTTAACTCTTTTTATACAAGTACAAAATGATTACAATCCCAAATAGGATGAAAATCTTGTAGATAGTCATCATCCGTTTCATGTTAGGTATTTTAAATATGATATTCTTCACTGATAACAATGTTGCAGTAAACGTCTTGACTCCCCACACTGCAACAATGTTCAGTGTATATGTGCATTAATCCTGTAATCAGTTCTAAATGGGAAAAAAGCAGCCAAGATAGGAACACGTTAGGCTGGATATTAACCTGGGTAATAAAAGATGACATTTAGCCGATGATGTTGAGCTGCCATGTTAATGGCGTGTATATCACTGCCTATCGGATGCTTATCTGTCATCCAGCTGTCAATTGTCAGACAAATGCACCGAACTTGTAAACTAGATCCACAATCTTTGTCACAGAAGTTTTTTTTAGGCGAGCACACTTAAAGTTTCCCAGGAAGCTCAAGGGAATCACTTGCAGTTTTTTTGTTTTTATAGAAAAAATATCATCATGAGTATGGAAAGGTCTCGACTTATTATACACCTAATGATACAGAAGTAAAAAGTCTTTAAGTATTAATGTCACAGGAAAAGTCTTTCAAGTCCGAATGATACAGAAAATATCTTTTAAGTCCGGTTACACAAAACTGTTTCCAGTCCTAATGATACATACTGTATTCGTCGTAATAAGCGCCCCCGCTCTAATAAGCGCCCACAACGATATTTGCTAATATATTGGCTGGTGAACAATCCCAATTAGCACCCCTGTCGATTGATCAATGTACACAAGACTTATTTATTTGTGTATAATATGCACTCATGTGTTATATGCACTCTTCATTATGGGCAATTAATTTCTGGAAAAATATATCTGTCGTGTATAATACACACAGACTTTTCTTTTGTATCATTTCAGGCTGTCAGCATAAACCACAAAATTTCTGATCTTTCAACTCTGTTTTTTCCCCAAATAATATTCTAATAAGAGCCCCCTATTTCTAATTTTGAGAGCGCCCTGGGCGCTTATTACGTCAAATATGGTAAGTAAAATATTTTTCAAGTCCTAATGTTACAGAAAAAAGTCTATTAAGTTTATATCCTAAATATATACAAAAAAAAGATCTTTCAATTCCTAATCACACAGAAAACAAAGTCTTTCAATTTATATGTAAGATGAAGAGTGAGTGTGCAAGTATTTGACACACTGCTTCAAGCAATATTCCCACCACATCCTGGCCGTGACACTTAGAACGTACTTCACACCCAGGAGCGACCCCAGTTCTTCAGTGTCAAGGTTATGCACTAACCACTACACTACCCAACTGCCTCTGACAAGTAAAAGCATGCATGGAAAAAAACAAACCCAACAGAATTCACTAAATTCTGTGCAGAACAAATAATTTATTCAAATGTTTGTTAATGGCCTTGACTAAGCTCTCTACACTGTTCCCACCTTGAAGCTCCTCTGCATGGTGCTCCACACTCTGTTGTAGACACTCCTCGGCTTTTCCGTCTCCGACACACACTCGGCGCTGTTTCATTGTCGGGCAATTTTTACCACCATTTTCCGGGTATCTTTTAACTTTTCTTGTTCTCCTGCGACTGCCAAGTCCACAAGGATCATCGCACTCGCCCCAGTCAGTCCAATCCGAGACCTCGCAGTCTATGGCTAAAACACAAGGCAGAAACATGGTTAAGCAAGGGGACAGATAGCGTTACAGTGGTACATCATGATCAATGACTTGTGATAGGGAGTGATGTTTGTTTGTTTCTTGTTTAATGCCACACTCAGCAATAGTCCAGCTATATGGCGGCGGTCTGTAAATAATCGAGTCTGGACCAGACAATCCAGTGACTGACATCATGAGCATTGACCACCCAATCTCATTCGTCGCCTCGGACGACCAGCTCTGACACCTCTTACGGCAAGCATGGGTTGCTATTTTCTACCCTGATCTTCACAGATCAATAGGGAATGAGTTGGGTTTAAAAACTAATTTCAGTTATATCTCAGCGTGTAAGCTAAACTTGAGAGGAGTGAGTGAGTGAGTTAGCTTGATTGCCAACAGTATTCCAGTTATATCACAGCGTCAGCTTAATGTAGGAGGAAAGCCCAAAGTGCAGATGTTTACCACTTTGGTTAAACACAGGTATGGTGCTGACAAACCTAGAAACATAATTGGGGGAATCTGGGATTTGAACCCATAATGAAAAGTTTCTGGCATGTCCAAGGGAGGCAACTCTGCACAGTGAATTGGAGTCCCTTGGAAGGCTGGGCCACCCGTGCCTCCGAATTTGAAAGCAAAGCCCGAAGTGATGTAGATAATAGACTTATCACTTTGGCAAGAGCTGACAAACCCAGAACCATAGTCATACCCTCGATCATGGGATTCTGGCATGCGTAAAGGAAGTGACTCTGCACATCAAATTACATTATACACAATACGAGATATTTAATGATTAACATCATGATGATACATGCAAAGTGAAACATTGTTTATATTGTGATGCAAAGGATATATAAGGCATCTGACTTTGAATGCGTACAAAATAGGATTTCTGAAAATGTATGGCACTAGACTTTTTAATGTGTACAGTATACACTTTTTGAATGTTTATGGTAGTATACCTTGAATGTTTATGTTAGTTGATCTGGATGGTAGTTGACCTTGAATATGTATGGTGGTTGACCTTGAATGTGTATGGTGGTTGACCTTGAATGTGTATGGTGGTTGACCTTGAATATGTATGGCAGTTGACCTTGAATGTGTAAGGTATTTGACCTTGAATGTGTATGGTGGTTGACTTTGAATGTGTATGGTGGTTGACCTTGAATGTGCATGGTGGTTGACCTTGAATATGTATGGCAGTTGACCGTGAATGTGTAAGGTATTTGACCTTGAATGTGTATGGTAGTTTACCTTGAATTTGTATGGTAGTTGACCTTGAATGTGTATGGTGGTTGACCTTGAATATGTATGGGTAGTTGACCGTGAATGTGTATGGTACATAACAGATAAAACAGAAACTAGTCAGTTTTGTAGCATGTTCTGAGCAGGAGACACAAATATATCCCAACTGTGACCATTGGGAATAAATCCAAAACCAGGTCTTCAGTTTGCTGACAAATGCTTTCACCACTCAGCTACCAGCCTCCCTAGAACTTTATGAGAGAAAACTGGCCCATGAAAGCTCTTCCAGGGCCAACTGGATACCATAAACATCCATCTGTTGTCACTTGCAGGAAGTCCCACTCTCACACAGATACCAACACAACTGTAAACATTTCCTTTGTGTAACAGGAATCAGCTTACAGACAGGATCTGGGTCCATCTGAGAGAAGGTCAGAGCTCCTGAGAGATACATACAGAAGCCTGGCTGAGCATCTGGGGATGAGAGTAGATCAGATGCTGAAGCAGAACCAGCAGTAAAGCAGTCTTAATGGCCTCCATAACCTTCACCAGCAGCGACAGAACACAGAGCTTTGTCCTGTGACATCAGTGTTGTCGTATTTCCAATACTGGGTCACTCTAGTCTGTCTCACAGTCCCTTAACCATTATAGTCCCTTCCACTAGACTTACACAAGTCTCTAAGGCAATAATTATTAGTTTAAATCATAAGTTCTACATTATGTAAAAAATGTGAACAAGTTGTCCCTTTAAGAGACTGGTGTCCTTCCACATATCTAGGCTTGCCTATCAGAAGGAAAGAGTTACTAAACATCAATGGATGTATCTTTTAGTACAGCCTTGGAGCAAGGCTGCCCTTCAACCAGCCCTGACTGTAATGCCATAGCCCAAAATGAAGCAAGTCTAGATTTTCCACAGGTTCTGAATTTCTAATGTTCCTTTTCAATTAAAATGTAGTTGCTTGTTTCTTTCAAATTATGTATTTTTAGAGACTTTTAGATATTTTAAAGCGTTAGTCTATGTGTCACTCCAACTGTACAATTAGATGTCCAAGACAACTGACCAGTTAGTATGATATGGAGACAAATGATTGGTTACCATAAACGGGCAGAAAGCGCCAAGTGATGCAGGCCGCAGGTATTTACCACTAGAAACATAATCAGGGAGAACCGGGATTCGAACCCATGATCATAAGTCCTGCAGATTTGCACATACCCTAGAGCTGAGGCAATCTAGACTTGCCAAATCATTCTGGACTTGAGTTGGGCTCCTTTTAAATTGTCTGGTATTCAGATCATGTCAGCCCATCAATCTCATAATGGGGCATGGGTGGCTAGCTAGGGTTTCCTGGTCCCAGACAAGAACAGTTCAACAACTGGGGCATTTAAGATATTGTTATAAAATTCATGTGATTCAAATTTTTCCTCCACACACGTACAATAATACGTGAAAGCGCTGGATGCCAATCCAGGCTGTTAACCCAGCACTACTTGACATATATACTCAACTAGATCACTGATAACAAACATTGTGCTTATACGCTAACGTAAGTCGATCAAAAGGTTAAGGTAAATCTCAAGGCAGAGCTTCACTTCCTCTTATCATATATCCATTAACATATGCACATACATTAAGGGAATATTTCATTCACTGATCTGAAAAAATTCATTTGTTGCCAATGTCTGTATCATGATTTACAATCTTGTGTCGGGCGATATATCACTTGTGTATCTCTCTTGAGCAAGTGGTTTCCTATCTTGACAACTTATCAACCTTCGGTCATATATCTTGAAGGTAGATTCACCATCCCTCATTTTCCCTCCGGGCTCAAAATCATGCAGGTAGACTCATCCCCCCCTCCACCCCGAGTTCCATATAACATGGGGAGACTTCCCTCTCCTTGCCCTCTCCCTTCTGGTGTTTTATACCACAAGGGTAGACTCACCCCGCACTCTGGGATCAATATAACACGGACAGACTCACCCACCCCCTGGGATCAATATAACACGGACAGACTCACCCACCCACTGGGATCAATATAACATGGACAGACTCACCCACCCACTGGGATCAATATAACACGGATAGACTCTTCCCCTCACCCTCCTGTTTTCAGGTCCCCATATAACACGGACAGACTCACCCCACCCCCTGGGATCAATATAACACGGATAGACTCTTCCCCTCACCCTCCTGTTTCCGGATCCCCATATAACAAGGGTAGACTCTACCCCTCCCCAGACTGTTCCCGATGTAGGTCATCACCCCCTCAAGTCTCGTGATAACCAAACTGCCGCTAAGCTCAAGGATAGTGTCTCAGGTCCTGGGCACTGTAAGTCCACAAATGCAATTTTCACTAAACTCAGACATACGTACTGGACAGGTAGGAAGACGTTGCCATGGAAACCAGACAAGTTTTTCTTGGTTCTTGACACTAAAAGTTCCCAGTAAGCACCGCCATTAGTGGGTACTTCAGTCAATGTCGTGATTACAGCCAATCAGACACTGTACTGTCCTGCTCTACATCCGGGGAGGAAACTATCCCCGGTACCTATGGTTGTTGTAATAGCAGTGTTGGAAATGATGGGGATGTCCTGGGGTCCCTGGGGCTCGCTGCTACAGGACTTTATTATAGTGACCCCCAAAACATGTAACTTTTAAAATTAGGGTCATGACACAGGAACCCTCGACGTCAAGGCATAATTTCAAACACTGTAAATTTTAAGCCTACTAAAATAGTATTTGATGGTTACAATATATCCGAAATAGGTTTGAACCATAGTTGAGTGAGTGAGTGAGTATGGTTTTACGCCTCTTTTAGCAATATTGCAGCAATATCACGGCGGGGGACACTAGAAACGGGCTTGACACATTGTTCCCATGTCGGGAATCAAACCCGGGTCTTTGGCGTGACGAGCGAACGCGTTATCCACTAGGCTATCTGACTGCCCCTAACTACAGCTGAAACAGTCAAACCTCAAGTCAACTTCAGGACTGGTCAAATCAGTGATTGACCACTGTTCAATGCAGGTCACTGACCACAAGGACTCAAACTTGCACCAGAACGACCAGCTCGCCAATATGGTTATGCAGGGAACTCCTTTTAGCCCAGAACGTCAGCAATCGGACGATTACAGTCGAAAAAATCTAAATATTACTACACGAACATAATACACATTAAACGCTATTTGTGAATATATCCACATTATCAAGGTTCAACTGTACACAGACAAACTGGCCACTCTCTTGCTCCATGTTTTGCTGTTTAATATCAAGAACTGGGCTCCTGGGAACTCTTCTGGATGGGAAACGACAGAAGTGTTTGAAATCCCAGACTTGACTATAGACAGAGTTACATAATCCCCCCAAAGGTTCAGCTGGGTAGTATTACAATAGTCTCCCTCCTATCCATCACAGACAGATTTATCGGAAAGATTACGTTTTTATCATGTAAGGCTACGCGATAAATCAGATTTAAGAAGCTTCGGCTTGATTTCCACTAAACTTAAGCTCCAGTTTCTCTGCTATATTACAGGAAACATTTGTCCGAGGTAGTCGAATGTAATTCCCAGCTGCCAAACACAAGCGCTAACTCAGAGTTTTCGCTGTGTGAGGATCGGTAACAAGGGTTCCGACAACAATATCATATCACTCACCTAAACCTCATCAGAAAGGTCTGTAGCAATAAGAAGCGTGTCATTACGGGATGTTAATCTGATTGTGTTCACAGCTGTTGGACAATAAAACTTTCCCAACTGT